TCCTCCTCCTCCTCCTCCCTCCTCCTCCTCCTCCTCCTCCTCCTCCTTTCTTACTTCTTGTTCTCTAGGACGCCATCATCATGAACCTCGATGATCTACTGTGTGTGGGAGCAACGGACAACATCCTCCTCTCCTCCACTATCGGTCATCATCTCTCCTCCTCCCCTATCCTCCTCCCTTCTTTCTCCTCCTGCTCCTCTGCTCTGTCAATCTCGTCGCGATTGTCCTCCTTGTCCTCTTGTTCCTCTCACAACCGCGCAGGACGGAACAAGAACCTGGTGCCGGGAGAAGTGATCGCAGGTATGCTGGTGGGGGAGGGCGAGGCGATGGAGGAGGAGAAGGACAGGAGGGTGAAGACGGAGGGAGATGAAGAAAGAAGGGATCAAAAGATGGGCTTTTTGCAGGCGGAAAAAGATTCTGAGGGAGGGAGGGAAGGGAAGGGAGGGAGCGAGGGAAGGAGCGAGGGAGGGAGGGAGAAGCAGAGGACGAGGGACTAACTGCGAGCAGCGCTAATCAACGGGACGGAGGAGGTTCTCGAGATGCTTCGCAGCAACGGAGTCAACATTCACTCAACTGGGGTCTGTGCCATTCCTCCTCCTCCTCCTCCTCCTTCCCTCCCTCCCTCCCTCCCTCCCTCCCTCCCTCCCTCCACTCTTCCTCCCACCTCAGTCTCTGCCTCTACTTGTCCTGCGCTTGATGTGCAGCAGAGACTGAAAGGGAGCAGGGGGAGACTGCGGACGTGGGAGATCTTGTCAGGACGATCATCGTTGACTCCACCGTGAGTAGCAGGAGGAGCAGGAGCAGGAGGGTGAGGATTGAATGATGTGCAGGTCACCTGTAGGATGAAGCGCTCAGATGTCATCGACAACGCGAACATCGCAGCAGGCGATGTTGTTATCGGCCTGTGCTCGTACGGAAAGGTACGTCCTCCCCTGCCCTCCTCTTTTTCCCCCTCCTCTCCCCTCCTCTCCTCTCCTCTCCTCTCCTCTCCTCTCTTCCCCTTTCTCGCCCGACTTCACTCTTCCTCAAGTTTATGGCAGGCGACCTACGAAGATGAGTATAACGGAGGAATGGGATCCAACGGCCTGACGTCCGCGAGGAAATGCTCTTTATAACTTCCTTTCCCTTCCATGTGCTCCTCCTCCCCTCCTTTCCTCCTATTTTCTCTTTCTCCCTCCCTCCCCCTTCCCTCGCCTGCTCCTGTCTTGTTCTGACTCTCTCGCAGGCATGACGTCTTCGCCAAGTATCTCGCTGAGAAATATCCCGAATCCTTCGACCCTGCCGTCCCTTCTGACCTGGTTCTCCTCCTCCTCTCTCGCTGCTTCATCCTCGTCGTGTTCTCTCCTCCACCTCCCCTCCCACCGTATCTCCCCTGATCGATTCTCAGGTGTACGCGGGCAAGCAGAAGCTCACAGATGCAGTGGAGGGGTAGGAGGAGGAGGAGTTTCTTCATGCTCGCATGACAAGGCTTCAGGTCTCCCCTCGACGCAGGCAAGCTCGTCCTGTCAGCCACCCGCACATACGCGCCAGTGGTGAAGAAAGTGCTTGACAAGCACAGGAAGGACATCCATGGCATCATCCACTGCTCGGTGAGGAGAAGAACAGCGCGTGATGAAGGATGAAAGGAGAAAGAGGAGGGGAGGAAGAGAAGGAGGACGGGGAGAGAGGAGGAAACAGGGACAAGGGCAGGGAGAAGCTAATGGAGGGGCAGGGAGGAGCACAGACGAAGGCTCTCCACTTCATCGAGAACCTGCACGTGATCAAGGACAATCTTTTCCCTGTGCCCCCACTCTTCAAGGTAAATCAACAATTCCCTCCTCCTCCTCCTCCTCCTCCTCCTCCTCCTCCTGCCCCCATCCTCCTTCGCCCTCCCCTTTCCTCTTCTTTCTTTGCCCTGCCAACGGTGTCTCACTTGCCTTCAGCTCATCCACCAAGAAAGCGGGACTGACTACAAGGAGATGTACAAGGTAAGGAAGGATGCGTTGACGGGCAGGAGCAAGAGGGGAGGAGGAGGATGGAAGTTGTGTAGGATGGGAGAACGAGGAAGGACGAGGACGAGGACGAGAAGGAAGAGGAAAGTGACTTGTCTGCAGGTCTTCAACATGGGTCACAGGATGGAAATCTACGTGCCCGCAGAGTTCGCCTCCTCCATCATCGCCATCAGTCAGGTGTCTGCTCCTCTGTCCCTCTTCCGCTTTCCCTCACTCCATCTCCAGTCCTTGGGCGTCGATGCGCAGATCGTGGGTCGGGTAGAGGCTCATCAAGGTAAGAGAGGAGGAGAGGGGAGGGAAGGGGAGGGAGGAGAGAAGCAGGAGGGAAGAGGAGAGGAGAGAGGAACACAAGGACTTGACATGCGGAGCAGGGAAGAAGGTGACGATCAAGAGCGAGTTCGGGGTCTTCGAATACGATACTGCATGAGGAGAGGAAGCTGGGAGGAGGGACCGTCTCTTGTAATCACAAGCTGTTTGTCTGTAAATTTCCCTTCTCACATCGTCACTTCCTCTTCTGCCTCGCAAGCGAAGAGATTCCCGAGGTTGATCATGTTAAAGGCACTCTCCTGTAGCAGACGATGACAATCTTCGTGCATGACTTCCATCGCCAACTGCAACTCTGTGACTTACAGTCGAGACTTTCTCTCCTCCCTCACCCGCTCTTCGTTGGAGAACACTGGGGCCTTGAGGGACACGAATCCTCTCTCCTTCCTTTCAGAGTTTTCAATCGAGAGCTTCTTCTCGGCATCCTTCAGATCGAACAGTCGCTTCAAGTAGAGGATCTGCCGCCCAGTCAAACTCCCTCCCCCCTTAACCTGCCGTCAGACTCACCTGCAGGTAGAGCTGCTCAGATGTGTATTCCAACCTCATCCTTCCTCCACATTCTGCCACGGCAATCAGAACGTCAACGAGGCAAAACAAACCACGTACCCGGCATCGGACATTTCAAGCCGAAGAAGGAGGTGTTTCCCTCGTGGTAGACGTCGCACATGATATTTCTAGTGCGATGGACACACATGCTGTCCGAGCAGCACATCCAACCATCGTGATACCTGAGCAGCGTATTAACGTCTCTTCGGTCTCCTTTGCCACGAGTTCTCTACAACCTTGAAAGGCATCTGCGCAGGAGGTTGTCGACCTGCAAGCGCAACGCACGAGGGTTGAAAGAAGCTCCTGCTGCATCTGCACATCGCATCCCGCAGATGAGGCTGTTTGCACCAGCGACACCATCTTGAAGCACGTAAGGGCCCTTGAATTCTCTGCTTACAAGTTGAGAAAGTGATCGACATGGTCAGTATAGTTCACCGTGTGAGACCGTCACTGCATGTGCCCATAAGGCGCTCAACACTTGCAAATCGATCCACCTGAGAGAGAGATGAGACAAGACAACAGAGGAACAGCACTGTACCTCAACAGCTGGTTGAGCGAATACGGAGTCGAAGTTAGATTGAGACCTCGATTCGTTCTTGTGGAACTTAGTTGCATCAAGACCAAGACACTCCGCTATCCTTCCAGAGTCGGTGCCTTCGATGACAGCACAGATACGAGACACGACTGGATGAAGCTGCGATTCCAAATACCATTTCTTGTCCAAGGTTAGCTTGCCAGCAGCCTGAGAACAACTATCAGTATAAAGTCCTGGCAGGGAAGCCTTGACCTCTTCCACAAGCTCTGGATCGTGTGCTCGTTGAGCGAACATCGTGATGTTTGGGTCTGCACAAATGACGTACGGAATATGATCCCCTGCTCGTACAGGTCTTCCACGTTCCTTCATTTTTATCGCAACCTTATTCTCAAGGTCAACAACCCTCGCACGCATCCATAGACATGGCAAACCTGAACGTGTGGCTGTGTTTTACCGTCAGAATATTCTTCTGGTTCCTTCGTCAAGCCCTTGGTAATCACATAGTCTGACAACTGCAAGCAAATACTTAACGCAATCGAACAAGAAAATCATTCAGTTTGTCACCGGAAGCGAGTTATTTTCCATGTCAGTTGCCAATTGACGAAGGTATGTATGAATGTTTTCAACTACATCTTCAACTGGATTTCCCGAAAGAATGAAATCCAATATTTTGTCGCCTGCCCGCTTTGCAAGGACACACCAGTCTCGACGGACAATGTCAAGACCTTTCTTTTCCTTCACTTTGGTAATCTTGCCATCCCTTTCAGTGACAGATAAAGCTGCATATTTCTTTTTGTTCAAGAGAAGCAAAGGACAGTAAATTCCATCCAGACCAACTTCAAGAAGTCTCCACATCTTGTTCAACTCCTTCCTTGCCTCATTGGCTGTCTTGACCGCCTCTTCGTAAGTGTCACAGCCAGAGTTCACAAAGATGGAGTCGGTGTCTCCATACACAACTTCCAGATTGAGCTTGTTCTGAGTCACCTCGACTGTCTTTTGAAGAAGTTCTCTGCCTTGCGCAGTGATCAATTCAGCTAGAGGTTTAGCGTAAAAGCGAGAATAAGTGAATCCCAAGCAACCATACATCGAATTGGCCATAATCTTAAGGGCAGACTGTCGGATATCGAGTTGCTGTCTTTTGGTTGCATCTGTCTCTTTCTTGATAATTTCTTTTACACTCCTTCGCCGTTCCACAAGAGTTTTGATAACACGAGGAAGCACACCCTCATCCAGATCCTTACTTGGCATTTCATACCGCGGGGTTTCTTCCTCGGTGTTGCTTGAGGGAAGAACAGTGGTAAAGCAAATGTTGAACTCCTGAATGATAGTCGGGTAAAGAGAGTTGAAATCCAACAACAAAATATGTTTATCGTAGAGTCCACGTTTGGGATCAAGCACAAGACCGCCAGAGTATGCCGCCTTCTTGCGTTTGCTCCATTTGGGGTTGGCGTCGTCTTCTGCTTCGTCATCAAAGTTCGAATCGTCTTTGTTTCCTTTCTTTTTGTTGAAGGTCGCCTTGTCCGGCATCACAAACTTCAATTTTTGAAACTCGTGCAACAACAAGTATTCCACACGTTCTGCACGCGCACTAAGGAGAGAACGGCTCCAAAGGTTGCCAGCAAGGTTTGTGAGTTGCTTCGTCAAGGGTAGTATCATCAATTTGAATGTCAACAGAAGGCATAGATATGAGTCATTTTCGTTGCAGGCAATCAGTTGCAGAAGATCAGTTGATTTGCCAAAATAAGATGCAACTTGCTGAAAGTCAATGTCAAACCTGACTTTTTGCAACTGCGTCTTGGCGAGCTCGGAAAGAGTGTAAGTTGTCTCGCGCAAATTTTCCTTGGCAGCAATGTATGTGTCGCAAATTAGACGACCAGAGAGAACATTCTTCTCCGCCCAGGTCGACTGGCCCATACCTCCAGCATTGTTCTGAAGCTTCGGCATGTTTGTTCTTCGAAGTCGGCCAAGCTTGGACCACCCAGGAATTTTTAGCTTTTGCATTCGATGCAATAATACATCGAGGTCAAAACCGATGAAGTTGTGTCCTATGATCACATCAGGGTCCATCAATTGTAGTTTTGCAAGGAATGCATTCAACAGAGCACGTTCGTTTTCATGAATGTATCGAGGAGCATCCTTGTGCGTTGCGTTGAATTGATCGATCTTATTCTTGAAGTCCAGAGGCCAAGCCGCTCCCTCCAATTTTCGAATTCCAGTGAATCCATACATCTTATTTTCAGGCCTTTCAGTTGGACCATCTGCATTCACTTCGTTGTGGCACAAGGCAGACAGCATTGCAACTTCGTTCGAGTGATCCCGAAGATTTTTGACCGTCTGCATGTGAACACTCATAACTCTCAGAGGCGGAGTTTCCATGTACACAGTGCTTTTCTGAATCCACTTTGAATCGGCAACCCGAAATTCATACTTGCACCAGCTCAGTGGAGTGCTAACTGGTTCTGCACCTTGAATGTTAAGCCAACAAGGCCCCATCAACTTGCGCTTCAACAGCAAAAGCTCCAAACAAGACCTACGAAAAGCGAAATATCAGGAATGGTATAAATAAAACAAAGTCACTCACTGCGTAGTTCCGAATACTTTCTTGAAAGACCTGCCAGCAAGATCTGATGCGACCGCTGGAAATTCTGCCGGGTACACAAATTTCAAGTATTGAGAAGACTTCGGGATACTAGGATCTTGAAAGTGGTACATGTAATTGCGTTTCACAAGTTTGGCTTTGTGCTTCTTGATTCCAGCGTCTCGAGCAAACTTGGCAAACTCAGGGAAGACATGATTCATCAAGTCAACATCTTCCTCCATAGCATTGCCGTCTTTGTCCAACAATTTCTCTCTTGGCAACACAAAAACTTGTCGTTGGAGATTTTCGACATGAATGCAGCAACTCATAAAAGTTGGTTTGTCCAGATCATTGTTCTGAATCTTTATCTTGCCAAAAAGGAAAACAGTTCCAGCCTTTGATACATCTTCGTACGCATCAATCCAGAAAAACTTCAAAGTTCCATCGTCATTGACTTCGAATTTCACATCACCAGAATTGAGATCCTCATTTTTTGGCATGATCTTGCTCTCATCTACCTCCATATCAGCATCTGTCACAGCATCTCTCATAGCTCGCCAATCCTCCACCTCCGCCAACATTTTCTTGCGATTCGACGTCACATCCCGAGCAAATCCACCGTCCGAGCTTGGAAATGAACAATTTTCATCCACTGGTTCTTCCATTTTCACCTCATCAGGTTCGTGTTCGTCAAAATGTTGATGATCATCGTTTTGGAATTCTTCATGGATTTCAAATTCCTCTTGCTTGATATGAACAGCAGAGGTCTGCACCTTCTTTCTCTGTGGTACAGCAGGTTTCTTCTTGCTATCCATGGGTGATATGATCGTTTGAGTGGGCTTGCGAGGCACACTGAACGCACCACCTTTTATGGAAGCAGCGGAAGCCCTACCAACACTGAGAGGCTTTGCATTTGCTGGCTTCTTTGGTTTGACGTCTGCAGTAAGATCAGCAAGCAAGTTGTCGAGGCCGATGTCCACTTTGGAGTCGAGCTTTCTTTTGATCCCTGAGGTTGCAGGCTCCGTAACTTCAGTTTTCACAGTCACACTGGTGCTTGTTGCTTTGGCCTTGGCCTTCAATGCCTGCTTTTGCAACAATGCAGAAAGAGAGTGATCGGGTCGCTTTTGCTTCTGGTCCTCATTGACTTTCGTGGTGACCATACCAATTTTGGAAGCATAAGCATCCTTCTCTTCATATTCGTCGTCCGAATCCTCCTCTCTAAAGTGGAATCAATCATTCTACTTGAGTTCATGAAAAGAAACAATTACCTATTCCAAACTTCTTCTCCATCATCCTTGTATCCAAGGTCGTCACCTAGATACACTATTCAAAAAGAGAAATATCAGATTTGTTTCAAGAAACCATCTTCCTCAAGGAAATCGTCTTCCCTCCGCTTAGAAACAAGGTTTGCATATTCTTCTTCATCCATTTCAACAAAGATGGATTCCTGCTCTTTGACCTGCATTGAAGTTTAGCACATACTCTTAGTGGCTTGCACTGACCTTGAACTGTTCACTTCGTTTGAGGTTTCCACTTTTTGCGCTCTGCAACAATTCAAGAGCAGCATGGTTTACCCTTGCTTTTTTCTCTCGACGTGGACGAGATTCCATCCTGATCAAACCTAGGGAACAAATTTTAAGATGCTTGCACAAAAAATACTTCATTGCTTGATTTGAAATGTCAGAAAGCATGATGCGGATTGTGAGGTGGTGGATGATCGGAGGTGAACACCAGTAAAAAGAGGACACAAGAAGAGAGTAATTAAGACAATCAATGTTAAAAAATTCACAGAAAAGGTAGGGTTATCGAACTGCACAGAAGAGAAAGATGCGTCACTAGAGTGGAACCATCGCGTACAAGTGATTATTGCAATAAAAAGAACAAACATGCCTAACAATCCTGACAAACATGCCAGTCCAGTGAGATCCACCTGAGCGACTGAGCGCATAATTGCAAAAGAGAACATGCGATGTGAAGGGAGCGGCACGATTTATGCAACCGTAATAGAGCATGGTGATTTGAGAAGATTGGGCAGCGTGAAGGCAATTAGAAGAATTGTTGTCCAGGATGCAGTTGGTGAATCTGAGAGGAAATAATGCAAAGGCGCAGCTTGCAGCAAGAGAGCAACAGGTGAAGGGAGGAAGGTAACGAGATTCATTTCAAGGTCGAGAAGACAAAGAGAGTGAGCAAGTGGAAATGAGTCAAGTTCAAATAGAGAAGAAAGGACAAGAGCGAGACCAATAGGGTCGAAGCTGAGGGCAGGAATGGAAGGAAGAGGGACACCGGAAAAATTAGGAAGCGGGAAACTTCAACGAGGCGGAGAGCAGGGAGGAAGTGACGGAAGAGCTGAAAGAAGAGGAGTCAAGAGGACAAGAGGGAGCAGAATCATGGTTTGCGCAAGCGATGATCGAATGAAGCATGTCGAGAGAGAGAGAGGAGGAGGAGGAGCACGCTGAGGTGGGAGGGGCAGCATGGAGCGGGAAGGGAATGGCGATTTTTTGGCGCCAAAGGCAAAGAAAATTGAGTAAAGAATCACAAAAACTTTGAATTGAAACTTTCAAAGTTTAAAAGGAAAAAACTTTAAAGTTCAATATTGCAAACTTTTCTGTTGAGTAATAATTCCACTGGAATGTGCTACTAGGTAGTCAAATGATCGCCCGGCGGCGCCTCTTCGCATTAGTTCGCCTTGTCGCCATGGCAACGTGGGAGAGGGAGGATGTCGATGATGGTGTCAGGGCCTTGTGCTGAACCTGCGATCAGTGTTGTAGTGCTGTCCGATCAATGTCAACTCACTGAGTCAAGTTGCTGCTGCGACAATCTTGGGGTCTGACGGCCGCGCGTTAGCTAGCTTAGTGCCAGGGCAAGTCTAGCTGACTTGTCGTAAAAGATAACTGTCCCGAGTCCCTTTATTCTTAGGCTGATGATCAACCATGGCAAGTTTTTGAGGCCCTGGTTGCTCAACTTCATCTGAAATGTTCAAAGGCCGCGTTCTGATTGTAGTTCATGAGATTATTTTTCGAGTTGATAACTTGAGAACAGTGATTCTGGTTATTATGTATCAAAATATTTTCTCAGTTTTCTTCGTTGAATTCACGTCTCGTCGTGCTTACTGTCTTTTGCAGAATGCTCTTTCAAGTCGCTCCCTCTACCTTCGTGCGAGGACAGGCTCTGTGGACTGTTCCTGGAGAGGACGATCTCTTTGCTCCCTGGGGAAGGTCCTTACTCTTGCTCTTCAAACTTCCCTTTTCACGGTTTTGCCACAGCAACAAGGCCGCCTATGATTATTCGTATGCCGGCATGAGAACGGTCAGTGCTCTTGTTTGCCCCGCGCTCTTCAATCACTCACCTTATTGTTTTCTCAGTCATCCAACACCGGCATCGCGCCCTGCAACTATGGCAATGGCTATCTGTGCATGCCGCCATCCATCGCGCAAGTGCAGCCCTTCGAGTAGAGCGAACTTCAAGTAGGGGAGTCGTTTAACTTGATTCAAAATATATTACCTCCGAAAAATTATAGTGTTCAAGAATGCAGAGGGACATCGAAAAAGAATAATCAAGCTGACGTCATGTTGCTGACTTGGGCTCTCACTGCACGGTGCAGCAACCAGACTCTGCGAATTCAAGTAACTGTCAACTACTCAACTCGCAACTTGCTGCTGACCAGGTACCGTTGACGTCCCTGGTCGAAGGTCGAAGTAACCAAGGATCTTGAAACCACGCTCTCAATTGAAAGAAATGGATCGCAACGAAAACCTGGATCTCAGCTTGCGGCCCAAGTCCCTTGAACGTGTTGAACATTGGAAGATCCTCTCCATCGATCCTGCCAGACAAAGTGAGTGCAAGGTCAGTGCCTGATTATGCTCACAGAAGTCCACTGACAACCACTTGAGGCTGGACGCCAATCTTCGATGATGCCCAATCCTGCAGCGACTCAGGCAGGCAGACGAGCAAGCTCTTCTTTGACCGCCAGCAGCGACGTGAGCTTGTCAGCGACCCTTTGATAAGATTCCGTCTTCTTGCATTCGATCTTAAAGCTCAGGTGCTTCTGCAAGGACTTAATCGTCGACGTCGTTTCTCTCTTGCTCCTCTCGCCATTCCTCTCCTGATATGCCGGCGACTCTAGCTGGACCGCAAACTTAAGCGGGGAACATAACAGCTTGCGCGAACCCTGACGATGAGAGGCAGATTCCTCTTGAGCTTGCTAAGTGGTAATGTTACCTCCTTGTTCGACCTGCCATGGGCCATCAAAACAATGGAGATGTGAGGCCAAACGTGCAATCGTACCTATCCAACACTACAACCGCCATGTTGTTATCCATGACTTGTTTGATTCTGCCTTCCTCTCCATTTACATTGTGCCTGCAAATGAAATGAGCGACGAGCTTAGTTGAAGAGAGTCCAAGAATACAAGTCGTTTGCTATCGAGTGCAGAATAACCTTTTCTCCAACGATCTGAACAGGTCAAAGGCAACATGTCAACATGAAATATTCTATTTTAGAAAGGAAAACCTTGTCGGTGGACTTTGTCAGGATCTCATCGATGTCATGCAAGATGTCCTCAACATCTGCAAACAGGCTCTCTTCCACAGTATAAAAGTTTATGATTGCCTGCATGGGAATTTGATAGTTAACGACACAACTTGTCCCTGCAACACACTGTACATGCGCATTGATCGCAGCCATGTTCATCCCAGGAACTGCAAAACTCTGGCGTACTTGGCTGTCAATCGACACATTGCTGTCGATCGACAGACGTTGTGCCGTGAGTTGACCCGCATTGGCATACGCGAGCTTCCCGTGCGTGAGGGTGTTTGCCATGCACTGGCTGTGGAAATCTTCAGACATTCAGGTCACAAGCATTCGACAATCAGTCCCAATCAAAATCAAGTCAAGGAAGCGTCAGCCCATGGAACACCAATAAAATTGGGGTGAAAGAGTCGGAGCAGGCAGGCAGGCAGTCAATGAAACAAGACATGGGCGGGGTTAGCAAGGAGCTGGATATGAACTGAACAAACAAGCAAACGCATAAAAGCAATAGCAAACAAGGCGAAGCAGCCACACAAGTAAGAATCAGAAACGCTAAGACTCATCCATCTCCATGATCCTCTCATCTCAAGTATCTCTCTCACGCTTGACCCCACGCGCTTGCTCCCTGGTCAGCTTTGCGCATCTCTGCCCGATTGATATCTTTACCCACCCACCAGTTTGAGTAAACATCTCACTACCCTACCCATTTGGAAGATATATCCATTGTAACACTACCCACATCATATACTCATTTCGTACGGGTATCGACAGGGTCTGGAGGAAAGGTAACCCCAACAACACAAGTACCCCTACCCTCCAGGGAAGAGGTCACTTTACTATTGAGTTCCAACCACTTCGAACCCTCACAACCGCCCGGCCCGTCAGCTTCGGCCCGATGAGCCGCCCGGCCACCGGCCCGACCTAGAGACTGAGAATAGTAAGTAAACTTATTAGTTAATGTTACGTGACCAGTCTCAGATATGTATCGAAAAGAGGTGTTTTCGAAATTTGACTGGAAAGCCTTGCTCCTGAGCAACCCGTTCCTCCACCTTACGCCTGACGCCTCCCACCCCCGGCCTTCCATACCAGTCATCAACTCTCCTCGCTCTCCTCGCTCTCCTCGCTCTCCTCCTCTCCTCCACCATCAACTGGAACTAGGCCTCCTCCTTCAGCTCCATCCGTTCGCCCTCTTCATGTCTACCTCCCCTCCAAACGCCCTGCCTTCCGATGGTAGCTCTCCCAACTTTGTGACAATTCACACAAGAACTAGAAGCGGCCTCATTCGGCGAGACAAGGCAGTCAATATCAGCGTCGAAACCCTCGAGCAGCTCTTTCATCTGCGCCAAGACGAAGCTGCCAACACGCTGGTACGACACGAGCATGCGGGAGGTTGCCAGGTCTGACGAGTAGGCGCAGGGAGTGTCGCTGACCAGCTTCAAGTTGGCCTGCAGGAAGCTCGGCCTCGACCGCTGGCCTTACCTGAGGAAGGCGCAACAGGGCTCGGGCAGCGAAACGCCAGGAAGCAGCTCGACGGGGGTGGGCGACGCTCACGATGCTGAGGCAGTGCAAGCGACCTTCGACATGCTCGTGCTGGAGGAGGTGAAGGAAGAGAGAGGAGACAGCAGCACACCAGCCTTGCTGCTAGAAGGTAACTTTGCCATTGGCCAGCATGGCGAGGACACGCACAAGCCTTGGGAGCCGAACGGAGAGCAGATGTGGAGTTTGGAGAGCGATTGGTTGCAAGAGTACATGGAGGCGAGTGAAGAGGAGGAAGAGCTTGCTGGGCAGGACGTTGAGAATGGATGTCGTAGAATGAAGTAAGGATGATTTTGAAGCCTCCTGATATCTCTCTCCTGCCCCCGCCCTCCACCCCCCCCAACTCTCTCTCTATCTCTCTCTCTCTCTCTCTCTCTCTCTCTCTCTCTCTCTCTCTCTCTCTCTCTCGCCCCCCCCTCCCCATCCGCCCCCCCCCTTCTTTCTTGATCCTCCTCCTCCTCTACCTCGGCTACACCATCGCCGCTGCAGCCACTAGCCGATGAGACGGAGTAGCGGATCATATGGGATCAAGAATCTTCGCTGCCTTCATTATCTTTGACTTTTACATAATCATATACATCTATCTACATCCCCTCCCTTCCCTCCACCGCCTTCCTCTTGTCCGTTACGCTAGAGCACATCTCGGCCGCTTGCTCGAGTCCTCCAGCCCCAAGCGACCACAGGCTTGAATGCCCGGCTCTGCGGGAGTAGTGCGCTTCCTGCATAGAGTGAGACGAGAAGACGACAAAAGAATGTGGAGAGAGGAGAAGAAGAAAGAGAGAGAGAGAGAGGAAAGCGGAAAGAGGAGAGGAGGAGAGGCAGGGTAAGGTCGAGGTACCTGGGAAGCTCAAAAGTGAGCGGAAGGTCGTCTTCGTCTGAGTCATACGCGAGCGACGGCTTGCTCTTAGGGCACGCGACGTTGGGCTTCCTGGAAGGGAAGTTAAGGGAGGGGGGGAAGGCAACAGGAGCAGGAGGAAGAGCGAGAGGAAAAGTTGCAGATGATGATGAGAACGAGGAAGAGGAGGAGGAGGATAGGCAAGCGCTGGGTAACCATAGGTGGGAATAGAACACAACACAGGAATGAGGGGGGGGGCTAAGAAACAGAGTCGGAGGGAAAGTAGAAGCAAAGGAAAGAGCTGAACGGGGAGAGGAGGAGAGGCAGGGTAAGGTCGAGGTACCTGGGAAGCTCAAAGGTGAGCGGAAGGTCGTCTTCGTCTGAGTCATACGCGAGCGACGGCTTGCTCTTAGTGCACGCGACGTTGGGCTTCCTGGAAGGGAAGTTAGATAGAGGACGAGCAAAGGGAAGGAAGAAGAGGGGAAGGGAGAGGGGGAGGGAGAGGGAGAGGGGGAGAGGGAGAGGGAGAGGGGGAGAGGGAGAGGGAGAGGGGAAGGAACAGAAGGTACATATGTGCTCACATCGATATAGACAGGACGGGTAAGGGCACAGAGAGCGGCAGCTCGTCATCAGAGGAGCTGTAAAGTACTTGCTTGAACGTTTCTGCATTCCTCTCCAGCTTGCTCGTCTCTGTTCGTCGCGCTTGCGCTTCCTCCTTGTCCTTGTTGACCTTCTCCTTCCCCGCGGTCGCTTCGCGGCGATTCGCAGCTCCTGCATCCACCGAGGCGCGAGGAGCGCACGAGCCTCCATGAGCTCCATGAGCCGAAGGCGGAGGAAGAGAAGGCTGTAGCGACAAGTCAGAGACGGGGAAACATGCGCAGGAGCAACAGAGGAGGGGAGGGGAAGAGAAGAGGAGGAGCAAGGAAAGGAGAGCTCACCCTTCGCCCTGGTTTCTCCGCCCTCATCGACATGTACCTGCGCTGAATCAGAACTCTTGCGTACAGGGAGAGAGAGAGAAATAGAAAAGCGATGATGGAGGATGAAGGAGGAGGAACGTGACGCGACTGCGAGCAAGAAGAGGAGGAAGATCTCGTCTCACATGACAAGCTCGAGTTGCTGCCGCTCAGACAGGCGACTCGGATCAGCCATCCAGTCGCTGTAGGAAAAGTGTGAGGAAAGTGAAGAATGAGAGCAGCGAAAGGGAAGCGAGCAAGTGAAGTCCTCGACTGACCTGTACTTGGCTGCTGTCACTTTCTCCTCTCCGGTCGTCGCTTGCCAGAGCTGGACGAGAGGATCCACTTCCATCTTGGGCTCAAACTTGCGTGCAAACAGCGAGTTGTGGTCGCAGCACTGACGCACGAGCTCCGGCATCAGCCGCCTGCATCTGGTGAGGAAGAGGAGGAGAAGAGAAGGACAGTTACGAGAAAGACTGCGGATGTTTGGCACGGGAGGCATCGCAGGAGCAGTTTCCTCCATCCAGACAGCACCACGAGTACGTGACCTTGATGTTCACAACCTTCCTCATTCTCTCTCCTCTCCTCCTGCTCACGCGTGAGATTCAGGCGCCTGCTTCCTCTGCTGCCTCACCTCGCGTGGTACCGCAGGTACGTCAGAGGAAGCAGCTCATCCGGTGCAAGCATGAGGCTCTTGTCGACGTACTCCTCATCAAGCAGCAGGTCAAACCTGCAAACCCTCCCGTCACCTGACTGCTCCTCACACCCTCCCTCCCGCACTTGAGCCCCCTCATCTCCTCATCTCTAACTTACGCGCTGAGCCAGAGTTCCGCGTCTTGGGCCTCTGCGAGAGCCTTGGCGTCTTCCCGGCAGAGGATACACCATTGCGAGTGCGCCTGAATCGTCTCGCCGTGCTCCTTGCTCGCGAGCTCCTCCAGCAGCGCCAGCTCCTTCTCCTTCCCCTCGCTCATGTTCGCCTTCTTCTCCTCCAAAACCCTCCGGAAATTTTCTCGCTGGAATCTCTGTGACTCGACTGCTCGGATGCATCAGTCAGAAGGTCAAAGGGCAGCAAGAGGAGGAGCAGAGAAGGAGCAGAGGAGGAGCAGAGAAGGAGCAGAGGAGGAGCAGAGGAGGAGCAGAGGAGGAGCAGAGGAGGAGCAGAGGATGAGCAGAGGTCGCTTACCCTTGTGTAAGTCAAAGAAGCTCTTTCCCTTGTGGGCATTGAGATAATCAAAGAGCGTTTCAAAGCTGACCATGGGCAGGCAGCTGTTGCTCAGGAGAACGAACCATCTGTGAGGCAGCGGGTCAGCAGCAGAAGCTCCTCTCCTCCTTGTCTTCCATACTCGTTCTTCGACTCCTTGAGCGCCTCCCTGAGCATCACCAGATGCGCCCTCACAAGCGACACGCGTCCCCATGCCGTGTCAACCGCCTTGACAAGATTGCGACGAAATAGATCATGCTGCACCTTGTTCGCTTCCTGCTCACCATTATCAGCCTCCCAGTCCCTCCCAACTGAATCGACCTTAGCATGAACATACACGGAGAACTTGTCGGCCTCTTCCTTCCTCAGCCACTGCGCCCAGGCCTCTGGGTTATTGACCTGCCACCTGATCAAGACAAAGCGAGGCGACGAGCATGGGCTACCTCCCCGTAGGTGAGGAAGAGAAGCGCGATACTGTGATCTCTCGCAGGAGAGACTGAAGGCATGGACTCCTGCTGCAGGCATGAGCGTCAACCATGCACCCGCACCGATCTCTCTACCATAGAACTCTCCTCCCTTCTTCTCTCGTCACGCATTCACTTCATAATACTAGAGCCCCTCCTCCTGGAGATCTTTCTGCATTAGCTCGTGCTTGACCTTTTCCCGCCCTCTGCACTGCACTAATATGCCATGCAACGCTCAGCTCTCTCCTCCTCGTCTGCTTGGTTCTTGCATTCCTCATATCTATGATCTTGTCGGCTTCTCTTGTGTCCACCTTCAGCATCCTCGCTCGCCCTCTTTCCTCGTCTCCCTCCTTCCACTTTCCCCTCCCATTTCTCTTCGGTTTAGTAATGCTGACAGGGAGGGGTGGAGAAATAGTTCATGGGGGCTGGACACTTGGGTAAACAGGGGGTCCACAAGCGGGACTGATGGGGTCCAAAGAGGGTAGGGTGGGTGGCTGGGGAGTGGTGTGGTAAAAGAAAAAAAAATTTTGAAGTCCTGTAGTAAAGACTTATCAAGTCAAATGATGCTATAAATAGCTCAACGGAACGAAATCCTCCAGAATTAGCGACTTTTTGACTTTTCTGTTTTTAAAACTGGATTTGAAAAAAGAGTCTTTTGATTGAGTCAACAACTCCGTATAAGTGATATTTTTGCAGAGAAAGTGGTACAAAATTTGTGCCAAGCAGTGAGAATTTGTTCAATTAAAACATTATTGTCAGTAGAAATCAATTCAGATTTTGCTTAATACTTTGATATAATCTATACATATCTTTAGGTATCTTTTAAATTTTTGTACCAAGTGTTGTTTTACGCTGAAAAGTCGAAGAGACACGAAGAGGCGAAAATGCTCGGTGGACGGGAGGGGAGCGCGCAGGGAGAGCGGAGGGCATGGCAGCGAGAGCGAGGAGAGCTTGGAAGACGTTAGGAGAGAAAGAGATGAAATGCAGGAAAGAGGGAAGATGCGGATATAGCAAAGAAGTGAACCTGAATAGCGAATAGCGATCTGGAGAACAGTTTTACCAGCTGTCGTAGACTGAAACACAAGTGGGCTCCGGTGAAGACGAAAACCAGCCCGGTAGTTATGATTGAATTGGCAGAGCAAGACTAGTGCAGAAGGATTCAGACCAGGGTGAGCAGGCTGCGATCGTTGATGAACGTGAAACATACTGGGGCAAGTGATGTGAGGAGAGGAGAAAGCGCAGACACAGCTCTTCGCGATGTTGGGTGAATGACTCTGTCGCGGCAGGCACATCCTCTTCGATGGTCTCGTGTGAGCAGCAGTCGCCTGTGCGTGCGAGTGGGTCCATGAGGTCCCTGGGTTACGCTGCCATCGCTCTGGTGGCAGCTGTGGCTTTGGTGGGAGCTGGAAGCCTGTCGAGCCGCTCGCAGTCCTCCCTGTCACCCGAGCAGACCTACCTCCTCCAGATGTGGGACCGGCCCTACGTGACCACCACCATGCTGTGGAATGCTGCGCACAACGACAACGGGCTCGGAGACAGCAACGGGGATGGGTCCTCCTCGTACGAGGCCTATGACACCTTCGGGCACAACGGAGGGAACAGGTAGGGATGTGGAGTAAGTGGAAGAAAGAGAGGACGGGATGTGACTAGTGTGCAGCCTCCAGGGTGAGATCGATTCGGACCTGAAGCAGATCCTCCCTTCCTCCGAGCTCAAGGCAAGAGAGTCGGTGGGCTCACCAGTCGTTGACTCGCGCCGCAGACTTCCAGCGGATCCTCCAACAGCTGGAGCACCTCTGCGCTTGCGGACTCCGATTGGGGCAGAGTATGGCACGCAATGACCGAAACAGTTGAGGATCTCTGACGCATCTGCCCAGCACACCTCGAACTACGACTGGGACGGGCCAGACGCTCACGTTCACTCGTGGGACAGTGACCAACAAGTGCAGATGAAGTCGGTGAGTTTCAACTCGAGAGCCCTGAAACCCCCGGGCTCACAGGGTTGCAGGAGCTTCGCAAGATGTACAGCAAGGGGATCGATCACATTTCAAAGAAGATCACAGAGCAGGTCGAAGCCTCTCGCGTCCTCCTGCCTCCCTTGTGACTTGAGCCTACAGGCTGAGAAAGACGCGGGCGGTGGGTTCTACTCCAAGTGGGCCAAGGTATTCGACATGTCGGGAGCTGAATTCAGTAGCCTGATCGTGTGGCTCAGCTGGCGGGCAACAAAATTTCCAAGGGCCACAAGATCGGCTTGTCGCAGAACCAGGTGGACGCCCGTTGCTCCTTCCTCCATCTCCTTGCTGATGTGCTTGCAGGCGAAGCTGTTCAAGGAAGCAGAGAAGTCTGAAGAGAAGGAAGAGGCAAAGAAGGCGAGCTACGTCAAGGTGCCGCCCACCTCCTAACCCCCCCCCAACCCCCCCCACTCCCCTCAAGCTTGCTCATGGTTCTCCTCGCAGGCTATCAAGACTGCTTCAGTAAAACAGGAGGCAAGCGACAAGCATGAGGTGAGAGTTGAGGAGACAAGTTCAAGTGGTGATGTAGCGGCAGGACAAGAGCGCCCAGCAAGCAGCGGTGAAGGCGAAGATCCATGCTGCTGACCGACTCGCGGCGAAGCTGAACTCGCACAAGTCGCACTCAAGCAAACATGCGTCCTCGAGCAAGGTTACTCTCTTATTGCCAGTCTGCCAGAGCTGAACGGTGAGACAGGAGCCTGTGGCACCCTCGGAGGATCCTGGCAAGATTGGGGACAAGAGTGCAGTAAAGGTAGAGCCGAACAGGAAAGGGAGTGAACTGAATGAGGCGTAGGAGCTTCGCAAGACTCTCAGTGGCGCGAAGAACGCTGCAGCAAAAGCGGCAGCAAGGAAGAAGATGGCGGCCCTGGAGCAGCAGATCAAGCGAGACTTCGACTCCGTCACCTCCTACGCCCACAAGGTGAAGCCTACACCTTCAACTGTTCCTTTCGCTCGTCCCCTTTCCATCTACCTCTCCCCTCTCCCCCCTTCTCTGCTCCGTTCTCAACAAGATGGTGCAGGTCAGGACGAGCCTGCCTCCTATGAAGGCCTAGAGGGGAGAAGAATAAAATGTGACAAAACCCGCGAGTGTCTGCTGGTCAATTTTACATGCACGAGGGGAGGAAGAGGTCTCGTTATTTGATTGCAGCCGCCGACGACATGATGATCCCCACGATGACGCCGAAGAGACCCAACGCGCTGCCGAAGATCTGCGACTGCGGTCAAACTGTCTCACTCCACTCGCTCCACTTCACCTCAATGATGAGAATCTTCACGAACAAGGAGGCATTCTGAGCGTCCGCCAGCGCACAGCCCGAGCCTGTGATGCCAACGCATATCCTGAACAACAAGTCAACAATTGGGACCTGTCTGCCCAACTCTACTCCACTCCTCAGCTCCTCAGCCCATGTTTCCACATATCCTCCCTGATCCACCTTGCGAAACCTTCTCTCCGTCCTCATTCCTTACCCGCAGAAAAGGTTTGAAAACCCAACACAGATCCCCGCGTTGAAGATGGCATAGGCCGCGAACAGCAGGTTCTTCATGTAGAGCGATCCTTGACACTGCTGCTCCTCAGCGCCTCCGCGACCCATCACTTACATGCTCTCACCTTCGACCCGTCACCAGGCAGCCGGGGCCATGAGGTGCGCAGAGCTTCGAGCGTGTTGCACTGCAGTAAGTCAGAAGGTTCGGCGAGCTGAAAGAGTGCGGGACCTCGGCGGCGTTTTGAGGGAAAGCTTCAGGTGTAGCCATCTTAGTCTGTCACACACGTGAGGAGTGACGAGTGGAACAGGGAAATTGAAGGCGGAGAGGATGAGCGACAAGACGAGACGCGAGGAAGCGAAAGATGAGGAGAGGCAGCGTAGAGGATGGGAAGATAGGGGCAGGCGGAAAGATGAGGAGAGAGCAGCAGACCCACCGACAAGATGATAGCGATGATGACCCCGTAGATGGCAACGGCCTCACAGAAGATAACAGAGATCAAGTTCTTGGAGCGAATGCGAGGAGCCTTAATCGCTGCACCCACAAGCGAAGACCCGGTGGTGAAGATTCCCCTGCAGCACCGAGATGAGGAGCATGAAAAGGAGGCGGAATGAGGAAGTGGGAGAAATGCTGCGAGGGATGCGAAAGAGGTCGAACATTACCAAGCAGCTCCCAGGACAGACACGCCGATAGAAATTCCGATTCCAATGTCAGCTAGACCGTAAGGAGAGACCTAAAGGAAAGTCAACCCCTCCAACCAACAAGAGAGTGTAGCATCCCCTCTTCCATCATCCACCACATCCTCCCAAACATCGCCATCGCCATCGCCATCACTTCCAGCACGCTTCTCAGCGGCTTCATAATCACAGTGGATCGCATTCGACAGAGACAAGTGCGTGCATGCTGCTGTCGCGGGGGTGAGGTGTGTGTTGGGGGGGAGAGGGGAGGACACGAGAGAAGCAACAAGGGTAAACAACAGGAAACTTTGTGGAGTACGAGGAAAACAACACGCAACCTATGCTGAGTGTGGCTATAATGATATGCATGATACAGACAACTAGCACGAGGAAAGCTTTGAACAGAACAGAAATATCAAAGCACACCGCGAAAGCATACATGATGTACGAGCTCCCAAGGAGAAACGAGACGAACCGAGCAAGAACGGGTGACACAATGGGAGACCAGCAGTGACAGGAAAACAAAGAAGAGTGGGAGGAGGATATCGAGCATCAGTATGAGAAGGATAAGGGGTGGTGAGCATGACGACAAGAGGAAAGAGAGGAACTGGAGGAATGGTTGAGAACGAAGGGAAGCTAACAGGGTGCAGAGAGGAGATGGAGGTTGTGCGTTGGCAGGAGATGCTTGAGTGAGGGAAGGAGCAGGTGAGAGATAAGGTTCAGCGAAGTCTCTGCAGGACCTGCTCGAAGAGGATGAGCCAGTCGTCGAAGAAGCCGGCAGAAGGCAACATGGCCGACATGGCGGCGGCAAGGGTTGTGATGACGGAGGGGTAGGGTGGAATATGAAAGGAGGGGTATGTAGCGTCACTGGGTTCCCTTGAGCTACACATGGTGGGTGATAATCGCTCATTTACACCGGTACTTCTATGTCTCCATGAAATAAGGCAGGGTACTGGGGTACCTCGTCTATTTGGAGGTGGTCCTATATATAACTTTTAATATGTAAAAGAACCCCTGGTACGGTAGGTGTGAATGATGATACTGAAGGTTCATTTATATTGTATTGTTAATATAATTTGTATTGAAAAAGAGTGTTCAATAAATATTTATAAGTAAAACTTATATCCTAAAATTGCTTCTGACGTACAATCAAAAGTACTGAGATATAATCATATGCTACCAATTGATTGTACTGTCCTACTAATATAGAACAAACACCCACGCTCGCCAGTACCCCCTCTCGATTTCAAACCCCATTGAGGAAGAGATAGTCTTGGTCAAAAGTACCCGTAGTCAAGTACCCCACCCCCTGAGTTGTCGTAGAGTGAAACGTAGACGTAGAGACGGGGGTATGAGGGAGATGATGAGGATGAGGGGGATGATGAGGATGAGGGGGATGAGTGGGATGAGGGGGATGAGGGGGATGAGGGGGATGAGCGGGGAAGAGGGGCTGGCAAACTAGCACGGGGGGCGAGCATGGAGAAAGGTCCGCGCAGGTTTGTGGGGAGGAGGAGGAAGGAGGAGGAGAGGCAGGGGGACAGTGAAGACCAGAGTGATCCGGTTCGAGCTGCTCTTGAGAGAAAGGAAGGCAAGGCTGTCGTGCCACGCGCAAGAGGGCAGGCGGGAAGGATTGTGCATTCCGTGCCGGAAGAGATTTTGAAGGACGAAGAACTGGGGAGGGCGATAGGAGAGCTACTTCCCTCCAACTACAACTTTGAGATCCACAAGACAGTGTGGAGGATACGGCAGGCGAAGGTACGACTCGTTCATGCTCAGCTTTCTCCCTCAACTCGGGCAGGTTGGTACTGTCGCGCTGCAGCTCCCGGAGGGACTGCAGATGTTCGCGTGCCCTCTTGCCGACATCTTCCAGCGCTTCTGTGCCGTCGACGTCATTATCCTTGGCGACGTGACCTATGGGTAAGCCCCTCCCCTGCCTCCCGGGCACTGACAGGACCGGCAGCGCATGCTGCATCGACGACCTGACGGCAAGAGCGCTGGGAGCTGAGCTGCTGGTGCATTACGGGCACAGCTGCCTCGTCCCCATCGACACCTGCGTGATGCCTGTCCTCTACGTGTTCGTCGAGATCGAGGTCCACTGACTCTCTTGCGCTACCAACTCCCTCTGACCCTCCTCGCTGCCAGATCGATTCCGATCACCTCCTCCGCTCCATCCTCCACAACTTCGAATCCTCGCAGCGCCTTCTCCTCGTCTCCACCATTCAGTTCGTCGGGAGCCTCCACAAGGTACCTCGCGCTGCTTCTCGTCCTGAGCTAGAGCTCGGGTTTCACTTCCTGCGCCATCGCAGATCCGGCCGCAGCTTCAGGAGCATTATCAGAGCATCGAGGTCCCGCAGGCGCGTCCTCTCTCCAAGGGGGAGGTGCTGGGCTGTACGGCTCCTCAAGTGAAGGCGGAGGAGGTGGACGCGATGATCTACGTGGGCGACGGAAGATTTCACCTCGAGGCGATGATGATCGCGAACCCTTCCATCCCTGCCTTCCGCTACGACCCCTACAGGTCCGACCCTCCTTCCCTCCCTCCCTCTCTCCATGTCTCCTCCTCCTCCCTCCCCTCCTGCCCCTCCTTCCCCTTCCTTCCGTCTCCCGGCCCTCACCCAGGCATGCCTCTCAGCAAAGTCATGTCGGCGGAGGCATATTCGCACGAGCAGATGCGCTACAACCGAAAGAAGGCGATCGAGGAGGCAGCGATGGCGAGCAGTATCGGGATCATTCTTGGTAGGAGAGGAGAGAGAAAGGGAAGGCGGAGGCTGATGAAGAAAGGAGGGAGGGAGGACGAGAGAGCTGAGGGGTGCACAGGAACGCTAGGGAGGCAGGGGAATCCAAACATCCTCACACACATCAAGGCATCGCTGGAGGCTGCTGGCAAGCACTACCTGGTCATCCTCCTCTCCGAGATAACCCCAGGTCCGCAGGACGTCTTGATTCCCACCTCTACTTTCCTCCTCCTCCCCCTCCCCCTCCCCCTCCCCCTCCTCCCCTGCCTTTGACAAGCTCGTAGCAAAACTTGCCATGTTTCAAGATGTCGGGGCGTGGGTACAGGTGCGTGTGGGAAAGGGGGGGGGGGGGGGGTGGGCTGAAAGGAGAGCAGGTGGCTTGTCCGAGGCTGTCGATCGACTGGGGGCATCTGTTTCATGTGCCTCTCCTCTCCTCCTACGAACTTCAAGTTGCTCTCAAGACTGCCGAGTGGCAGGAGGTGAGAGAAACGTGTCGGTGCCCAGCTGACGCCGAGCAGGTCTATCCGATGGACTTCTATGCGCAAACAGCTGGCTCATGGGGTAACTACCCGAACAACCAGCGAGCCAAGGAGAGGAGGCAGGCAGAGGAGGCGAGGAGCTCAGGCACTGACCTCAAGAGAGCGGACCAGCTCAAGAGCTGAGCTGGGCTCTAGCCGGGCAAGTGCCCTGTGCCAGCAGTCGATAGAAGCGAAGACGTTGCTGGAGCAGCGAGTGCCTGGAGGAGTTTGATGGAGTTCAGCTCGGGGGGTAGCCGGGGGAAACTCTTACCTGCTGTCATCCTGGTTGACCTGACCACATCCCCTCTCAGATCCCGACGCCTCTCCTCCTGATTCGCCTCGCAACCTCCGCGCGATCTCATCGACCTCCTCCTCCTTTTCCTCCCCATCTCGCTGCTCAGCTCTTCCGCCAGTGCTGACGTGACGTTTCCGGAGCTGGTCAAGCATGTACTGATCAAACTGTCAGCAAATATCTTCCGCCCTCCTCACCTCCCCCTCTTCTCTTCCTCTACCTCTGAAATCGCTTCTCCTTGACAGCACTGCCAAACCTTCAGCTTGCTGTATAAAGCCCATGTGAAGAACGTCTACAACGACTGTCATCGCCTCCTCCCCATCACTCTCCTCCTCACTCTGGCGAGCATTAGGCTCTCGGCTCGTCGCCTTCGGCTTCTCCTGCTCGACTTGGTCTGGGCGCTGAAGCTGCTCCATGCTCGAAGGCTCAGTAGGAGCTCGAAGGCTCTCGAGGCCGCGAACAGCAACCGGACGAGCGAGTCCCTTGGACGAGACCTTCGCGCCTCCGCCTGCAAAAGATTGAGAGAGGGAGACGAGGAAGAGGATGGGGATGAGCAGTTGGAGGGAAACAGGATGAGGCGAAGAGCTGAGTGTCACCTTCCACATTCTGAAGCAGGAGAGAGTAACAAGACGACTCCTCGCTCTTCGTGTCTCTTCTATCCTCCTCCTCCTCCTCCTCCTCCTCGCATTCATCAGCAGACTCCCCACACCCCTCCACATCATCCCCCGCGCTCGCTTGGCCTGAGCCTGCTCGAGTCACACTCTCACTCCCTGACAGCTGAGAAACCTGCGAGCCACGAGCCGCGAGCCTCTTCGCCTCTAGTTGGACTCTTTTCCACGCCAGCAGAGCCCCAAGACAAAGCTTGCTGCCGCGAGAGTCTCTGGAGAGCTTCTGCTGGGCTTCAGCTCAAGTCAGCGCGTACGTCACTTTGTCCAGCTCCTTGACCTCCTGCCGTCGACTCATCGGCTGCTGGGGAAACATTCGAGCGAGTCGACGCGATCAGCAAGCAGGTCTTCCAGCTGGACATGACAAGCGCTACGAGCTCAGCTGCCGCTGCTTCTTCCTGCCTCTCATCCCTCAGCCCCCTCTCAACCGCCTTCTCCTACCCGACCGTTTCCATCAAACTTTCAAGGATCTCCTGCCCCCGCCCCCGAGCCTGCAAAAGTTTGCTCCACGTATCCCGCAGATATCGCCTTTGCCTGACTTTCGTTAACATTTTGCTCCTCTTCCCCCCCCCATTCTCCCTCCCCGGCCCTCTTCCTCTTCTCCCTTCCTCTCCTGCATCATCTTTGCTTCACCAACCGCTTCCGTCGCTTCTGCTGCATCAATCGCTTGTCCGCCAGCTTCTCATCAGCCCAGGCCCTCCAGGCACACATTCCGCGCTCGAGCAAGCGACCTGGAGGGTTTGAGAGCAGGCGACACGCGATTCTCGTCCTCACTTGCTCTCTTACGACCTGTAGCCCGCGCGTCTGCCAACAGACAGTGAGAGAGGAGAGGAGACGGGGTCACTGCTACATGACTGAGCGACCAGAAAGCTGAGGTGACTCTCCTCCTTCCAACAACTGAAGACATCGCGACAGCATGCTTGATCTCGCCTCCTGCCACGTCAAGGCGACTGAGGGAACACAAGAGGAGAAGCAAGAGGGGAAGGGACCTGAAGTACGCCTGGAGGTAGATCTGACAGCTAACGTCAACCTTCGCAAATCTGCGGATAGGCCCTCACCTTCTGCATCCTAAGAAGCGTCTCCTTTCGTTTATGACCCTCCTTTCGTAACTTCTCTGCAAACTTTTCACCTGTAAAGGGAATCAATTGGATGCAAATAAAAGAAAGAGATAGGGGAAGAAGATGACAAGGTAGAGGTAGAGGTAGAGGTAGAGGTAGAAGAAATGATACTGATCTGGTAGGACTCGTATGCAGCAGACTTGAATGTCTCTTTCTCCTCCCTTTCTCTCCTTAGCTGTCGAAATTCTCGATCTCAAGGAAGCTCCCCATTGTCTTCCCTCCCTCACCTCTTCCTGAACTTCGTCGAGCTCCTTGACGAGACGCTCCGCCTGATCGCATCAGCCGCATCAGCATAACCACGAGCAAACTTGACAAGCAGAAGAGATGGCGTAGAGAGAAGGGACTGAAGGAAGCGTGCAAGGCAAGGCAGGGCAGGGCAGGAGACGAAAGGAGAGGATGGTAAGACAAGGTCCTGAGTCAGCAGAAGCCTAGGGAGGGACCTGCTCAAGTGCCATAGCGTGATGTTCCGTGACCTCAGCTTCGAGCATCTTGACACGGTGATGGCTCTGATCAAGGAGCATGCTGCATCAGAATCTGTTAGGAGGGGACGAAGGAGGAGGACAATGCTACGTCAGCTCCTCGCGATCCACCTGGAGGGACAAGAGGTCTTCCTCGTTCTCAACGCTGAGCGCATGCCTGAGTGACTGACGCAAGAGAGAGCGCAGGCAGTGAAGATGCCTCCTACCTCCTTAGTGATCGTAACAGAGCATCCCCACCTGCTCCTCTTCCTCCTCCTCCTCCTCTCTGTCCCCACGCGTCCCTTCCATCGCTTCTCGATCGCCCCAGCATGATGATTGAGGCCAAGTTGGCCTATCAAAAGTTTTAAAAAGAAATCATGGCCCCCATCCCCCCCTGATCCAGTTACGCAGATGCCAGATCCAATGCTAGATCCCATGCTCCTGATCCAGCTCCCCTCCCTCCCCTCCCTCCCCTCCCTCCCCTCCCTCCCCTCCCTTCTCATGCCCCTCCTCCCTCTTCGTGTCCTGCCTCTCCACCCTCCTCCTCCCTCTCTTCACAGAGGATTGGAGAGTACGAGGAGAAGGGAGCAAGGAACAGACGGCAGGTCGTCCCTTTCACTCCTCTCGCATTTCTCGCGTCGTTCGCTTCACCTGTAACTCCCGTCCTTCTACTCCCAGAGAGCGGGTAGGAAGTGAACCAGCCATCAGGGATACGAGGATGGATACGAGGATGGATCATGTTCTGTACGGGGGTAGGCAACGATGAGCTCCTGGCACGGAGAGGAGGAAAGGAGGGGGTAGGGGAACCAATCGTAGTGAAGAGGGAAGAACCAGTGAAGTGAAGATAGATGATGCTGAGAGGTGCGCAGGCATGAGTCAAGCCAGCCAAGATGAAGTCCGCACCTTCATCCTTCACTCCACCACCCATGACGTGGCTCCTTCCTCGCGATCGCCTGGCGTGGCGTCGGAAGGCGAAGACAGCTCACATGTTGCTTCCCTGGACTGGTGGAAGGAGGCGACAGAGTCCTTGCGGTCAAGTTTACAGCAAAAGCTCAACCAGGCACGTCCTCGTCCTTCCCTTCCGGTCCATCTTGACGTGTGTCCTTCAGCTGGACCAAGGCGGCCACATGTCAGTGCACATGAAGGGAGAACTGAAGCGCAAGGTAACGCGAGTCTTGGTCTCTTGATCCCACAAGACTGCATGCAGGCAAGGCTGATGACTCTGGTGGGCGGCCTCATCATGGTCATCTCGCTGTTTGTATTTGCGATCCGCTGGGGTTCTACCAGACCGCAGGAGGAGCAGAGGAAGTTGATCAGAGCAGCAGCGCTGTGCGCGGATCCTTCAGACTTGTTCAACCCTGCCTCGAGGTGAGACCGTTTCACAAGCCATCGCCTGAAGCTCCTCTAGGATGTGCAAGCTTGAGAATCGAGTTGCGTTCGCTGCCATGGCGATGCAGACGTGGGCCCAGTGCAACTTTGATGCTGCGGTGGTGAAGGGCAGCACGAGGGCAGTGGAGCTCACGTGATTCTTCAGGGTGCCAAGATCCTGCAAAGCAACATGGACGAATCAGGATCCTTCTGGTACAGCTACGAGGACAGGAAGGCCGTCGCTGCTTTTTACAGCTCCTGCCACTCAACATGCGCAACCTCGTCAGACACCTACGACAGGTCGGCACCTCCGACCCCTTGAAGAGGATAGTCAGCTGACTATCCAACAGAAGACTCGGTGTGTGTGTGGTGCAGGAATCGGAGGCTAGCCAGTGGCTTAGAGGGTGTCTGCGGTTGGGTTCAGGCTGCTTGATCCGGCAAGGGAGGGGGTGCGTGCGATGGCTCGCAGTCGAAGATTCAGGCCCGAGGGCACTCGTGGCAGAAGTTGTTCTTCACTCCTGGCAACGTGAAGGCAACTGCGAGGCTCGAGCTTGGGATGACTTGTGAGCAGGTGATGACTGGGGCTCCCAGCGAGGCCTCGCGGCTGCTGGCAGAGCAGAGACAAGGCAGTGCGCGGGCGTATTACTATCCTGAGGTGCTGCCCTTCTCAACAGCAGGTGAAGGTGAACGAGATCGCTTTGCAGACGGGCAAGCACGTGGAAGAGTTTTACAGGACATGCCACTTCCTCTGTGCGAAGGGCGATGTGGTGCGCGAGGCTCCATTACTCATGTGTGAGGTGCTTCTTCAGATGCTCAAGTTCGTACTACTCAGCTCTCGCAGGTGCGAAATCAAGCTGCGTTGGATCAGCTCAGCGATGTACGAAGAGCATGCACAGGGGATGTGCCTGACTGGTGGAGACAAGATGACATGTTAACGTAAAGGAATGACTAGGTGTTGTAGGATTCTTGCAAGCGGGTCTTCATGGTATTATTCCTTCTCCCATCAACGGCTTGTTCAAGTTTTCTACGATTCTTGCGTTCAGTAAGGGCCTCCTGGATATGCTGCGTCAGAACGAAGCATACAAGAATAGCTCAGAGAGTCTATAGTCATGTTAGGGTTTATTACTTCGCGACATTTTACAGACATAATGTACAACCTCTACAACCTGTATCCCATGACTGCTGAAGTCAAGCCCTTGGGCATTTGAGCCTGTTAGAAGGCTTGGCCATAACCTTGCCGGGAGTCTCAACTTCCAGTCGATCCTTGCGCTGACAAAGCACATGATCTGAACAAGATCGCGAAAACGTTGTCTTTTCTTGGTCATTTCGACATATCTCCGCAAATTTCTTGTGATGGATACGAAGTGGCTTCTCGTGAGTAAGTGAGTTCGAGCGATGGACACGATGTCGCCTCTGCGCTGATGGGCACTGGCTAGGAATCAGAACCTGCCCGGACACGGGAAGTATGGTGGGAATTGAAGATACTGATACGATCGATCCCATTTCGCTATGATGCTTGTTGGGTTGTCAAATGGAGATGTAAATCCACAAAATGTCAAGATGTGAAGAGCTATTCAGAGCAGCTCGCCACAACAAACAATGAAGGACTACGAACGCTTGCTGTGAAAAGCAACGAGTCGCAACAAAAGAAACAGAAATGTAAGGGATGAATTGAGAGAGGTAAACAGCTTGCAGAACTAGGATGGGGAAAGCGTAACAAGGAGAGGAGTAGTAGGAGGAGGAGGAGGAGGAGGAGGAGGAGGAGGAGGAGGAGGAGGAAGATGGGGCTTCGTTGTCTATGAGAAGAGGCGGCAAGCAAGGGAATTACAAGAGCGAAGCTTGCGGGAGACAAATAAATAATAATGAAAGTTGAAAAATACGACGGGGGGTGGGGGTGATGGTTTTGAAGGTAGGGGTAGTGTGGGAAGAGACAGGGTTGATGGGGTTGATGTTAATCAAGGGGTAGGGGTACTATGGCATAGGGGTGTCTACTCCGGCAAATGATCCTGACATAGGGGGTGGTGGGATACAAGGTACTGGTGGGGTGATTGTTTACGTATGGGTAAATAATTGAATTGATTGGGGGGTGGGAAGGAATCCACAATGGTGGGTAGTATGGACTCTGGTGGGTGGGGTTGGAATTCGGGGTAAAAGTCGGGGGAGTACAACATGAGAGAAACACAGAGAGGGGTAGGGTTATTCGAAAGTCCAAATAGAGGGGTGATTTTGATAATCAAAAGTACCCGTAGATTATGTTGAGGACCCCTTGGCAAGGGTAAGGTGGTCTTGGGGAGACCGAACTTCCAAGTAGAACCTAGCAGTGCCGCAATGTGTGTGGCAGTTCTACGAGGGGGTGGGGGTTATGACCCTTCTTGCAAACTTTTCGGAACCAAGAAGGAAAATCAACCAGGAAGGAGTAGGTGGGGGTCATGACCCTCATCGATCCAGACCCTGTGTTGCCCATGTGACATGGGACTAGTGTGAGGGCACGGTCGATTAAGAGAGGTACCCTACCCCACCTCATGAAATTGACACTACCTGACCCCCTTCTTGAACACAACTTGGAGTACCCCACCCTTGCAGGAATCCTTTCAAAATTTGATTTGACAGCCTTTGCTGTCCAGCCTGTACCACCACCCCTCCATGCTACCCTGAACCACCATCCCCTGATTTACGCCCCTTCCACCCCAACCCCCACCCAACCCCAAGCATTCCCCCGATGTCACGTACACCTCAGGTTTTGCCTCGAGAGGACTCGGTCCTTCTTTTACGTTTCAACCTCGGGGGTGGGTGTTGGGAGTGGGGGTGGGGTGCTGACTCAAACCCCGGCAACTCCAAGTCGCAGCTGACTTCAAGAGAGGGGGTTACAAAAGTAGGAGGGGTGCTTGTACCAACGAAAACTCCTACTTCTGGTGGGTAGTGCAAGTTCTTGACACCACGATCACGGGTGCTGATCGAAGTTGGTGTGCAGTTGAGTGCTGGTGGTGCTCAGGGGTAGGGTGGTAATTTTAGCTATAAAATAGTTTGTAAAGAAAAAAAAGAGAGGGAGCTTTGGGCATGAACTTACTCCGATCATGTCCCTCGATCACGTCCCCCAACATGTCCCTCCAAACGTCACGTCCCTCACACGGCGGCGGCCCGGCGAGTGTGACTGCCGTCACTGGGGTGAGGCTGCCGTCACGTTCAGTTCCGAGTCCGTGGCCGCGCCGGGGGCCGGGGGCCCGCGCCGCGCCGGGCACCCGGTCCGGCGACCGGGCCGGTCGGGTCCGGGGGGGCCGCCGGGCCGCAGACTTCTTCGGAAGCCACGGTAAGAGGTCACATCCTCCATCAAGTTTCAGAGTCGATTCCCTCGACTCAGCCGCCGGCCGAGCCGCTCACTGCCAGCCCCATAACTTGATGAGCCGCCAGTCCGGGAGCCGCGCCGCCCCGGGACCGTCCGGCTGAGGGCCGCCGACCCGGTCCGATCCGATCAACGGGGTCGGGCGGGGCGGCCGGGCAACAAACGCCGCATCCTCAAGAGGCATCGAGCGCTGAGCAAGGACCCGATGTCGGCCCTGATTTACTGGCAGAAGGTAAAAAGTGCCTCAAGCAAAACAAAGCCGTGGCAGGAAAAAGCTGAACCTCCAGGCACACAGCGCACAGCGAGAAGCTGCACAATCACACACAAAACACAAGCCCGAGAAGAACCAGCACTGAAGCCGCGCAGACAAGCAGCCTAAGGGTCAACTTGCAATCAAGCAACAAGCAGCAGGAGCATGCAGGAGGAAGAAAATCCCTTAGACGCGACTGTGATGGATTTACTGGCAGAAGGTAAAAAGTGCCTCTAGCAAAATAAAGCAGGAAAAAGCTAAACCTCCAGGCACACAGTGCACAGCGAGAAGCTGCACAATCACGCACAAAACACAAGCCCGAGAAGAACCAGCACTGCTGGCACCCAGACGCGGCAGCGCCAGCCCTGGCAAGCCTGAGCGCGAAGCCGCGCACACAAGCAGCCGAAGGGTCACGCGATACCCGGAGGCACCGACTGACCTTCAATCCCTTAGACGCCATCCCCGGAAGCAGCCGACTGACCACTGTCAGTCGAGACGTCCGCTGCCGCCACAAAGCGGGCGGGGCGCGGACGGAGAAAGGGCAGCCGCCGACAAGGAGCCGGCGCTGCCCGAGGAGTGCGCCCGGGCCAGCGGACGGAGGGAGGCTGGACACAGGAACACGGTACCGCTC